AGTGATTAATAATAAAGAACAGTGTAATGAAATTGAAAACGTACTCACGCGTTTCAACCTGCTCGATGTGTCCATAAAATACTTAAAACATATATATATTAATATAAAATAATATAAATATGTTTACGAAGAGTAATAAGCTAACTAAAATTACAAATACCGATAATTCCCACCTACTGACATCGACGAACAAACTATTAACCAATATCAGTTATATTTATATAATTCATAATGAGTTATTTTTATCGTCAATATAATTATTATGTAACAAGCTATACCTAATGTTATTTTTTTACTCATTTTTCTCAAAATTACTCCATTGTTGCTTACTGCCTTTTTGGTTTAGGAGAGCAGTATACATATCAATAAACATCGTTTTATATTTGTTATGCCATAGGTATACCGTAAAAGTTTTATTATTTTAATATTGTCTGACCAATTTTTTGTCATCATCACAGTAGGAGTTGTAATTTAATATTGTTATCTTAATGTTAAGAATAAAAATATAATATTGCATTTCTAAAAATAGTCTAATACAATCTGATTTTAGGTTGTACAATAATAAATACTATTTATAATCAATGAACAATGATACTAATAACCACTGCTATAGCAGTACTGTCCACCTACATGGTAATATCATAATAAACACACACTTTGTCGATATTTTTTTGGGACATAATATTTATTGTATTTGATATTTATTTATGTAAATATTTATGGCACTAAAATCTCGATAGTCAATACACAACTGCAACTGGATTACCAAAACTAAATATATAGAAAACAATCGATAACTTATAAATTATAAACAATTATTATATTATTAGCCAGATTGTAATTTGTTATACTGTATGGTATTAATTTTAAAATGAAAAGAAACAGTTTCAGAAATAATTGTCAATAAAATTCCCGATAACATATTATAAACGACAAATACTAAAAATAGAAATAAGTGGTTATAAAATACAATGCCCAATGATCTGTTGAGTTGTAGTGGGGCAATATATATTAAACATCTTATATTAAATTTTAAAGATTTTTTTAGAAGCCAAATATTTTTTATCGGTATTTCAAGAAAAAAAATAAATTAGAAAAATCGAAAATTTCAATGGTCTATAAATATTTTGAAAATTTAATCATAAATATATAACGCTAATATAAACATTTGGCTAAAATTTTAAGTTTTTACAATGATTCGCTTTTGAGTTACAACAAAACCAAAAAAATCGATTTAGTCGAAAAGTGGTTATACGTAAAAATTCCTGTTTTTCCGTTACTTTTTCAGGATTATTACAGAGGCTCTTAAAAATGACTATAAATTTTTTACTTTTAACCACCCAAAGTATAAACTAGATTAAATTTCCTTTTTAAATAGGAGCTGAAGTCAAAAAATTAAAGCACTTTTACTACTCCAAAACGTGATGACAGACACAATAATAAAAATTAAATTAAAAAAAAGGACACATGATTGTAAAATAAACACGTTCATCACTCCGTTAAGAATCTAAAAGTTTAATAAAAAGTACTAATATAGATGTTCTAGATTCTAGAATTAACCTATAAAAAACGGAAAATAATTTAATACATAACAAAGAATTGAGTTAAATTAATTACCAACAGATGTTTAAGTTGGTAAACTATGATAATAGATAAAAGGGAAATATTTTAATTTTGTACTCAAACTTCTATGAACCCCACGAGCCGCCTCTGGTTTGAGAATTGTACAAAATAAAGTACATAATACTGTACGATTTAAAGTTGAAATTTGTAAAAAATAATTGATCCTGGTGCTGGTGTATCGGTACCGCAGCACCCGTAAAATGAAATTGAATTTCGGGGAGGTTTGAGGGTTGTACAAAATTGAATTTTGGTTGTACAAAATTGTACAAAATAAAGTACATAATACTGTTTGATTACAATTCATGATTTCGAATGTGCGGGTGCTGGGGTAACGCACCTAAAATGTATTAATATTATTAATTTATTAACTTTATAATTAATTACTATTATTTTAAAAGTTTTATTACTAAAATGTATGTATAGTTATATTATTTAAATTATGTATATAAGTATTATTATTAAGAACTGTTTACATATTTAATATAGACTGTTCAATTATACTTTCTAGTGACTCTTACAGTATTTGATTCCAAAGAAAGATAGTTCAACAATATAGATATCAGTTGAACTAACTTTTAAATATTTTAACCATTAACTCCATCATAAGTATTATATAAATTGTTATGAATTGTTTTATATAATTATAATATACTTACAAAGAATGTATTTTTTTTAAAACTAAGTACTTATTATTTATTATTTATTTCTCATACATAAATGTACGTAGTATGATTATTTTTTTGCCCATTATTTATATTGGAGATAACTATTAGATCAAAATTAAGTTATTAAATTAATTTTTTTAAGTATAGATTTATATAAAAAAGTGTAAATTAATTAATAAAATAAAATAAATGTTATCTTTTTTTTTATCCTGATAAATAGTGTTTTATCTTTTATATTTATCCAGATAAATTTTTGTTTATTTTTGAGCAACACTGCGTAGGGTGCAAGTAGTTAAAAAATCAATTTCGTTTCCATCCTACATTCGATTTGATCTGGTGATAAATTTTTTTAATTTCAAAATTCTTGCTTTAAACATTTAAGCTCCATAGTTTCAGAAATTAATACAATATAAATATTCATAATACAGGTTTTAAAATACAGATATATCTGTGTATCATATACTTGTATCTGTACATTGCATCATTATTTAATTACTTATAAGTCATTAACTACTGATGCAATATTGATAGTTATAGCACGTAGAGATAATTATTATAATGAAAATGAAGACATAATTTACAGAAATAAAAAATGAAACTAGTAAATTCATAAAGAACACGAGTTTAAGGAAATGATATAGAAAACGGGAGAAGTTGTTTTAGAACTATTATTAATTAAGGAGCCGATAATAAAATGTTGTCAAAGCATTTGGTGGATTATTACGTTAAGCCTATTCATACTTAAAGGATTAAAATAACATAGTGTGTGATTATATCCGTCATAGTTTACTACTAGTCATTGTTAACTACCCAGTAAATGGAATCATTGGGGCTCATTATAAATTATATGGCTAATTAATTATACTTAATAACTAGGGCCCGGATTTCAATTCAAAGTGCATATTTTTTTGGTTGATCATACTCAATGCTCTCCAAGAATATAATTCGTTTTATGTAACGAGGGTTTCAAAACTACAAATTTTATTTTGCATTTTTTTTGCAAATGTCGATGTTTTCTCAATTTTAAAGCTTTTTAGTATTATTAGGTAATTTTGTTGGTTTTTAATGCATATTTGTTCGATATACTAAACGAATTTAGTCTATTCAAAATAAAATCAAAAGACAAATTGTTTTCTTGATGTTTAAGTAGGTTTATCGGGTTTTTCCATACACATTGTTAATCTTTCATCAATTGTCAATTGTTTCATTTATTTCATAAATTGTCAATCTATTTTTCGATTCAGTTTTTATCTTATCTTAATTTGTTATTGACTATGGAACGTCACCAGTATTCGATCAAATAACAAATAATCAGCTAGTTCGTATTACCTCGCAGATGTTGCTCGTATACGTGTGTTAGTGATTTTAACGTATTAAATAGTTTGTTAAATAATGCCAAAAAAAAAAATTATGTAATTTTTTCATTTTTAAGGTCATTTTTGTGGAAAAATTCATTTTTTAAAGACATTTTTGGCTATTTTTTAGAGCATATGGTTTTAAGTGTATTTAAATCCGTGCCCTATTAATAAATATTCTAAATTTCTCGTAAGGAAAATATTAAAGTAACATTATTTCCAATAAAAGTTCGAAAAACTGAAAAAAATATTGTACAAGTCGGTATAATATTGGTAAATGTATAAATCTGATAGTATAATCGATTCTTGTTTTTGTTTTTCGAGTTTCCAAAAATTACCCTCGAGGTGTCCATTATATAGATTTAACACCCTTATCTGTCCAAAGCTATAGAGCAGTGGTGCCCAACTCACGGCCCACGAAGGTATTCAATGTGGCCCATTACAATTTTTTTTTAAATTAAAACATTAAAATTATTATAAAATACGATTTTTTTAAATTTTATTAATTTTATTTTCGAACATTTTCAAATATAAATTTCATAATAAAATCCGTGCGCTTAAAAGAGCGTACTAATCAAATTAATGTGTAAGTACCTACAGTATGTACCTCATGGATGGACAACCCAAAATTACTAGAAGACTAATTTTTAGAAAACTAAAATCCAGTGGACCAAAGCATAGGAAAAATAAAAGGCCATTCAAAATATGAATTTTTATTAACATTCATATACACTGAAATAATAAATTCAACACACACGATAGCACGACACGAATGATACGAACAAACTGATATGTTTGAAAGTTATACGAATACATTCATATGATATTTAGATATTTAACAATGTTTAATACCAGATAACAATTATTATATCGATAAAATAGAGCAGGGGTCGGCAAATAATTTACATCGGAGTCCTAAAGTTTAAAATTATAAATCAATGAGGTCCAGTGAGAAAGATCAATTTCAAATTTTTATACAGTATGTTCCCGTTACAATGAATACCGATACAACGAAAAATCCCGTTATAACGAAAGTCATAGAAATCCCTTACTGAAAAGCTATTAAAACAATGTTAAACTAATCTCAATACAATGAAATGATAGATTTTTAATAATCCCGATATAACGAACTATTTGTACTGGTTAAAATGTATATATTTCCCTACTTAATTTAATCTAAAGATAAGAAGCATACGGTTTTACGAAATTATCAAGCCATTAAATTGTCATTATAACGTGTGACCGTGTTATTCCACGTCAATCGATAACGCTACACAATCAGTCGGGTCATAGACCTCTCACATTGGTAATTTTTATTTTTTTCGTATTTTATGCTCCTTCTTTACGTACGTACGTGATGAGTTCTACAGTAAAAAGAAAGCAATTTTCGTTAGAAGAGAAGAAAAACATAATTTCTGAAGTAGACAAAGGATTGAAGAAAGGCGAGGTGGCAAAAAAGTATGGCATATCCCCATGAACATTGTCAACTCTTTTGAAGGACCGAGAAAGCATCTTGAAACAATTTCAGACTTCTGTTTTTGTCCCGAGTAGGAAAAGGATGCGTAAGGCACAATTTGAAGACGTTGATACGGTGGTTTACAAATGGTTTCAAGAGGTTCGTTCCAGAAATGTTCCTCTGACCGGTTCTTTAATTCGAGAAAAAGCATTAGAATTTACTAAAATGCTCGGAGTTGAGAATTTCCAAGCAAGTGTCGGATGGTTAAATCGTTTCCGTGAGCGTTATGGTGTGTTGTCCAAATGCATTTCTGGAGAGGCGAGTGACGTGCCGATGAATTCTGTTAACGAATGGCGAAACGGAGAAGTTGCTGCACTCATCAAGGAATACAGCCCTAACGATGTCTTTAATGCGAATGAAGCTGGAGTGTTTTTTCAGCTTGAACCAAAAAGGATATTAGCCCAGAAAGGAGACGAGTGTGTAGGGGGTAAAGCTTCCAAACAACGCATCACTGCTCTTTTCTGTTGTAACAAATCGGGAACGGAGAAACGAAAAATCCTTATCATTGGCAAATCCGCAAAACCTCTTTGTTTTAAAAACTGTAAATCATTGCCATGCACCTATACATTTAATAAGAAAGCATGAATGACTCAAATAATTTTTAATGATTGGTTGATAGATTTTAATACAGAAATGAAAAAGAAGAAGAGGAAAATTCTTCTTCTTATCGACAACTGTAGTCCACATAATAAACCACCAAAATTGGATAACATTCATATGGAATATTTCCCACCTAACTGCACAGCTGTTCTTCAACCTCTTGACGAAGGTATCATCAGAGCTGTAAAATCACCCTACAGAACTTTTTTGTTACGTCAAATTTTATGCGATTTGGAGAAAAATATCCAAAGAAAATGCAATGTGAAGGAAGCTATCGAATGGATATGCGGAGCTTGGGATGATATCAGTCAATCAACAATAACTAACTGTTGGAAACATACAACCACAACCAAAGACACAAATTCTGTTTCAGAAGTGGCCGAATATGATGAATCAAATACGCACGACATCCAACAATCTGAGTTAGAGCAAATTTAGATCACTGCGAAAAAGAAAACGTCGCTTCCTGACGACGTGAATTTAGAAGATAATCTCGGTGCAGATGACAACGTTTCAACATGTTATGAACTAACCGAAGTAGACATCATTCAATCCATTAAAGACAGCAAAGATGAGGTCACCGATAAAAGTAGTGGAGACGGAGAACGAAGAAGCTGTGTTGGGAAATGATGTGCGCAATGTAACATCATCAGAAGCCTTATCAAGTTTGGAAGTAATGCGAACATTCATTACATCACAGAGTGATGTACCGGACTTCATATTTACAAACATTCACCAAATACAAAATTATTTACTTTCTATTAAAACAGCAAACCTGGTTCAAAAGAATATTGATGATTATCTATAATAAAGTTATTTATTTTTTCGCAAATTATTTACTTTTGTTAAAACTGTCAATTATTTATGTATAATAAAGTTATTTATTTTTTCCGCAAATTATTTACATTTGAATTATTTATTTATTACATGTTTACATACAATTTGTATTTGAATCACATAATGTTTTTAAATTTGTTTTTATTTCAAATTTTCAAAATTTCGTTACAACGAAATTTCCGTTATAACGAAAAAAAAATAAGGTCCCTTGGAGTTCGCTGTACCGGGAACTTACTGTATTTTAAAAATAGCAGTATAAAAATAAATATAATTATTTTGGTATTACAATTCATTTATATTAAAAATTACAATAATAGAAGTATGAAAATAAAAATTGACAGGGTCCAGAGTATTGTCTTCCACGGTCCGGATCCGGACCACGGTTCGTCAATTGCTGACCCCAACCCCTGAGATAGAGTATAGACGATCAATTTTAAAATTGTATGATGTAATTTGAAAATACGAGTATAGCATGAGTCATATGTACCTCTGCCCTGGTGTACCTCAATCTATAATCTTTTCAGTAGTTAGTAACATTTTTGAAAACAAATTCAATATGTATCTACATGTATATCGTACACCTATTATGCGCAACAAAATAACATTATTATATTAATATCGATATTGTTCGTACTTTTATATTTGGTATCCCGTTCTAAGTTAATCGTTTACCAAAGTGGCTCGCCGAGGAAAAAAGGTTGGACATCACTGCTATAGTGTAAAATCAAAACGTGGTGAAATGACGAATGTAAAGGCGGTTTATGAAGCACAGTAGCACGTGCTACACTCAAGATATTAAAAAATTAATAATAATAAAAATATCCAACGTATTCATTAAGCGTGTATAATATATTGTAGCATATACCATATCATATTCAATCAATTAATAATTTTGGGCTTGTAAATTAAAATAAAATATATACTAGAGTAGTTTTTGGCGTAAATTATTGCGATAATTGGTGATTAGATGTAACCGCAACGCACCGCATACGTTGTGAACCCGGTTACCGTATAAATATTTATTGCAGACTTTGGTACGACACTCCGCATTGGAGTAGCACAATCAATGTAAGTTCAAGTTTTTCCTCATCGTGACATTTATCGGAAAATCGATGATGATACGACTGTGCAGCGAGAAAAATTGGATATAGATTAATGTTATTTTTATAACGTCTTAGCCATTATATTATAATGTATATTGTGATTAAAAAAAAAAATGATTTATATTTCATTAGTATGACTAGCAAAACAATTATTACGTGTGCATTACAGTGTTACTTATTACAGATTATTTTACAAAATCGATAGATAGTGTTCTGCTTAGTGCAGAGCCAAAGAGTCGACGAATCCATCGTTTTGTCGTGTAAGGAACACAAGAACTCACAGATAAATCTTAAATGTATCCGAGGGTATTGTAATAGTGGCAATCGATGCCAATTAAATGTGATGTGATTACTACGGTGCCCTGTAGTAGATATTAAGTAGTGAAAGTTATTATAAATATATCGTAATTGAAGGCCGATGGTGTGTGTGTGTGTGTGTGTGTGTGTGTGTGTGTGTGTGTGTGTGCGTATGTGTATTTACGAAAACAATTTTAAATATCTGGTTTAAAATTATGAACAAAAAAAAAAAAATCGAATTATCACGTTAAGAGGATATAACGAATTCGATGTTTTAATGGTGGTCCGAAAATTACTAGTGTGATAGTTATTTTAACATTCAAATTTTAATCGGCAGCGTGTGCATAAAAAACAGGAAATAAATCATCGACTAGTTCGTTTGGTTTTTGCGTATATTACATGGGAACAAGGAGCTGCGAGTCAGGGTCACGTTACTGCCAATGCAGACACTCGTTTCCTGTGTATGTCGTACAGGTTTTCGATATAAATGCTTACCACCCCGTACAATTATTTTATTTTATTTTTATCACCTAACCGTTATCGGTGTACGAATACATTACGAAGATTGTATGTAAAAAAAGTTGATTTTAAAATCGTTGACGTTTTTGAAGCATAAAATATATTATTATAATAAATTGTATTTAAGGTAGTTCGGTTCGCAGTATGTGCAAAAATACGAGATGTGGCTTTTTATTATTGCCATATGAGACCTCTGTTTATTTGCGAAACTGAATTGCTCGGGCTTATGGACTTCACTTGCAAAATATTAGTGAAGGTCATTGTTATATATATATGTTAATACGCTTATAGTGGACGCACGTGGAAACACCCTAAGTTATAACACTAACATTGGAATGGAAATAACATGTGTTTGGCAAAGGCGACTAAAAATGTTTTTTGTAAGAGTTAGAAAAAAAAATATAACAAAGGTCGTGGAACAGTATAAAGATGTATAACTACTGCAGCGCATAACTGTTGTCGGGAAATCAATGCGTTGAATGGTAAACGGACGTAAATTTCGAAATAATTTTAAAATAGCCTAGCCCAGTTACCTCATTAGTAATTACAACTTTATGTGTATATTAATGTTCGTCATATTTCTGTGGGAAACTAGGTATTTTCGATTGTGCTTTATCGCGCGAAAATATTACAATGCAAATTATCACTTGACTCGGTGCACGTTCTGTCTACATATTTTAAGATGTGACTAGAATACGCGTTTGAATTATAAGATTCCTCGATTGCATCACAGAAGAAAGTGTTGAGATTTTCGTTTAATTAACACACGAACGGATTACACCGAAACCGCAGGATATAATATTATCCGACGGACATGTTGCAAAAGTGATCAAGAAGTGGAATGAATAACAATATACCAATTGCACAATTCGACATTTGGCACGTATACGCCATAATTCAAAGTTTTACAACAATATATTTAAGTTTAGCACAGCCAAATCACCGAAATTATAAGCAAACACTGGAAACCTCGGCTATCACCAAGACTCGTTAATTTCTCCGACACCGGAACCGGAAATATTTCAATTGAATATACTGAATAGACTGTGTTAGATACTAATATTTCTTACACTTTTTGTAAATCTTTTTATTACATTATATTATTTATCACTATACATTTTGTTGTATATCGTAATATATTTTTCCCTACTCCTTTTGTGCGTGTTTACTAATACATCCCATTCGCAAGAACATGTATATCATGTGTTGAACAATTTTAAAGAATTGTGAATAATAAAATAGAAATTCTGCAATACAATTTATTTGCGTATTTGGTCTTTTGGAAATACATTAATTTTTGATTAGTCTTTTATTCAAACTTCACAGCCGTAGGTACTCTTTCTGAAATCGGTAAATAATAAATAATCGTTTGTACAGACAATACGTAAAGTTTTTTCTATACAAAAACATTTACAAAAGTTGTTTGTTCGAACATAAATAATTATGAAATTGATTCGGTGACGTAATTTATTGATAAGTATGGTTAAATGTCGAAATCATCATATGTTACACGGAAAATAAAAAAAAATTATCAATCAGTGGTATAATAAGCTTTAATAATTATGCTTTATTGTTCGTATTCGATATAATCAGATATACCAAGTTATTGTTTTGCAGTAAATGCTAAGTTCTTTTTATAAGTAAACAACTAACACGAGGAAGTAGTTTTAATAGTAATAATCTATGAAATATGAACGAATTGAAGTTTTGAACGGTTTAAAGTTACGTTATATCTTTACCTTTAATTTAAAACAGAAGAATCAATCAAAACATTTTGTGATGTAAAATATTTGTACAAAATTATATTAAAATACACTCGAACGATGTAGAAGTATTTTAAATGTGTTAATTAATTATTATTAATTGTATTAATTAACGCTTTAAGCATAAATTGTATCGTCCATTATCATCAAATAATAACAAGTATTATAGCTAAAGTATTCGGACAGTAGTGATGACCATACGTAAATGCCATGTTTTTAAGGTCCGTTACCCCAGTATCACCAAATTGTAAATACAACTCCAAAATTATCCTATCGATTGTTATTTCATTTTTACAGATTTGTAATCGTCATTTGAACATTTGTACACCTCCCAAAACTCGGGAAAATCAACTTTCCGGAGTTGATTGGACCAATATAAGCCTATGGCGGTACTGGGGTAACGCTACACCGGTACCGCCACGGAAAAATTGATTTTCCCGAGTTTTGGGAGGTGTACAAATGTTTCAATGACGATTACAAATCTGTACAAATGAAATAACAATCGATAGGATAATTTTGGAGTTGTATATACAATTTGGTGGTACTGGGGTAACGGACCTTGTTTTTTACAATATATTGAATGATAATCGTCACTTATAGATCTTTGAAATAAGCTATTGTAAAATATGTTATAAAAGTTATTACTAATAATTAATTATATATTATAATATAAGTACTCGAGTATTAGTCATGTTCCCTGTCACGCAAAACGATTAAATCAAGCAGTGATTAGATGACTAACCGGAGCTTATTACATGTCAACTAATACACCATTGATGACTTGTAAACCGTTCGTCTATTTATTTATTTTTCACTGCACATAATATTATGTATACGAGTAAATACAGATTCCTCCACGGGGTCTAGTGTTGCGGGCTCGTATTACAATATTCAATGTCACTTAGAGGTTTGTTACGGTTTTTTATTATTAATACTATCGTTATGAGTAAGAACAAATATAATGGTTCTAACAAAACGATACCATACATACATAAAATATTTCAGAATAATAGCTCGAAACTCTTCAAAATTGACAGGTCAAAACTTGTATATAAAATATGTGTTTTATGTATTTATGAACTTTTCGACAAGTGCAGTAAGTAGGTATACTGTAGTGCGTGACGTTAGTCTTCGGAATGTATTTCTCAACATTTTTACGTTTTGCTCTGGCGTTGTCGACGAGTTATGGAGCAATTGACGTCGGGTATAGTAACTACTATAATGTAAACATCAATGAAAGTTTTATCAAAATAATTTCTCACCATTATTATAATCATCTGGTCGGTACGCACGTCGTACTATTAGCTGATAAGTCTCCAGCGTTGTTTTACAATATTTTACTCGGGTAAATGAACGATTAATTACTATTTGCCCCCCTCCCCCTACAATAAGCGTGCAACACCTCTAATTTTAGATGCGGAGTAGTTCCTTACTCACAACTTGTTCCTCAACAAATATTCTATAAAACTGGTCATCAAATACACGATTAACTAAGTTTTTTTTACATCGGAAAAAAGAATTAATTTATTCTTGATATAATATAATTTAATTATAATATAATTTATTCTCGATACAACAACAACAATATTACAAACATTTACATAAACAATATAATTAAAATTCTAGAATTAGAATACTATTATTATTATTATTATTATTATTATCTATTAGAATAAACACATTGTTTAATCATTTTATATTGATTTGATTATTATTTAAATATTTTAGAACAGTTGATTCATTATTATACTTGTTATAGAATATTTATATAAATCGTCGACAGTAACATTGAATTATAATTTTACTAAATGACCCGATACGACTTCTCTCGAGAGTCCTTGACTTACTGTTTGTTTAATACAATTTAGAGTAGACCAATGTAAGATATTTTTTATGGTAATCCCGATGAAAATGAAAAAACCACGCTTTATCAATAAAAAAAATCCCTAAATTATACACTTGATATTTTATACTTTACTACATATAGAGTAAATGACTATAAAATATTTATTTCCAAAAATCTTAATCACACAATGCAATTATGTGCAATATATGTAATTCAATGCAATATCAACACATATATTTATAATTAACATTTTTATTTTGTTAAACCGTAAGCTTGAAAAGGAAAAAAGAAAAGTAAACCATGGAAATTTAATTTTAAAATATTTAGTTTTCTTATGATACAATAACTATTTTTCAGGGCATATTTAAATATCTTCGAATATTTTTAGAGCATATAAGAGTATGATACATTTTTATCACATAAATGCATGCATATTTTAAGGTTTTATGGAGTATGAAATCCATAGCTATAACCTAGCTATAAATACTGTCTATACGATTGCAATCGTTGTTACGGTCAGTAGAAATTTTGAACGTACTTACCTAATAATAGCGTTTGTTTCAGATCGTTTCAGTCGACATTTTATATACACAGTTCATTGGACGGGAATTTTTCACTCGGTGACTATTGTGTTTTGTACATAGAGGATGAGCGGTTTTTTTACGAAGAAAGTAATTACGACCATCGATTATGGTATACCACAAAGACATATTTGATAATCAGCGAGAACAAAATGAAGCACGCTATAATATGGCCGTACATCCAACGTATCTGGACGACTTTTAAGGTGTTTAAGATTTCATTGTTGTACATGGACGAGTTGAAAGTGTTAAGGCAATTCGATGATGGCTTTTACAAATACGACACTGTTAATAAACTGAACTACGGAATAAACGATGTGAGAGGTTATCCGTTAAAAGTAGTGATATTTCCGAGGATACCGTCCATAGTATACTATGGTAACAAATGGATTGGACCTGATTGGGAGACGTTGAATTCATTCACGAAAAGATTGAATTTCACTCTTAAAATGTTCTTGTATACCGAGGAATCCGGATTCGGAAGGTATCTGTTGTCTTTTATTGTTATAAGAAAATTATAACTATTATTTGGTTTAATCACTTATTGTGCGTTGGATCATTATATGTAATTTTGCGTGGAATCGAGGAAGGGATTGTTAAGTCTACAATCATAATTTTAAAATATTTGTACGGATATTTGAAATTTTTCTTTACGCATTTTTGAAAAATTATGTTAACGATATTTATCTCGTTTTTCTTTCTTTCACACTATAAAATTTCAGTTTTGAGAACGATACGTATACCGGCGTATTGGGAGAAGTAGCTTATAACCGCGCGGACGTGTCATTTAACAGCCGTTTCCTGGACGACCCGATGATCGAAAAACCGTACCGGTATTCAAAGACCAACCATCTGGACTCGATATGCTTTGTGGTTCCACAGGCGAAGTCTTTGACTAAAATGCAAATTGTGTGGAAAACTTTCACGTTCGAGGTGTGGCTGTGTATGGCCGTCACCTACGTGATGATGATCAATTATTTTCAATTTTTCAACAAATATTCGTATAATTTACAGAACGAAAGAAAGATTTCTGACCCATTCATGACCAGTCTGCAGGTGAACACAGCGCACGTCATTCATCAACATTGCATGTGATTATGCACGGGGCTCAGATATTATAGCACTAAAAAAATAGTAATTTATGCGCTATTGTATGACATAAACAGTTTTAAAATAAACGCTATAATATGCTCTAAAAAAACGAAAAAACAGCAACAGAAAATTGTGTGATTCTTTTTTTTTCATCTATTAACAATTCAACAAATGTAAAATCATCAATTAATTATTTAACATATTAAAAAAAATGAAACGGAAATAAGATAAAATAAAGAAAAAAAGATAATTTTTCTATTTCGGCCTCAAAACTGTTTTGTACAATTTAAATTAAGTTTACGAGATTTATGAAAAAAATATATCAACTAAAACTCTATAAACACGATAGAATATACAAGATACAGTTGTAGATTTGAAATACTACTGTTACATTAAACACAACTCATGGACCGCTAATATTTTGGTGTCACCTGTCCATGACTCTTCAGCAATTTTGTGAATATCTCTTAGAGTTAATATACAGAACGTAGTTGTAGGTGAGCACTTACGTTAACCATCAAACCCGGTTGCTTATTGTTACATAAAACGTACATGCTATTTTTATCAGTACTCATAATAATTAGCAAATGCTTTAAAATCCGAGCCCTAATTTATATACAAATATATGATACAACCGTGATACTATATCATAATAAAATTATATTACGATCGATCATCACTATCGCGTTCCAGGTGGTTCTGGGTATGGGCGTGTGTAGTCTGCCGAAACACGTGGCTGGTCGTCTGCCGTTCGTGTCGTGTTCGGCCGCTTTCTTCGTCATCGTTAGTCTGTTCCAAGCATCTATGGTGACCAGGCTAAGCACGGACACCGTACAGAAGGAGATTGACACGCTCGAGGAGCTCGACCAGAGTGGTTTAGAGATCCGCACCTCGCTGAAAGCCGTCCGCGACTCGTTGGCAATGTACTCGTACACGAAATCGCTCTCGGACAAAATCGACTTGGAGAAGGACCGGCGGTACTCGGTCGGGTCGAACTTCGTCTTCATGTCGAGAATCATGAATTGGGACCTCAGTAAGCTGTCCAATTACATCGGTTATTTCGATAACAAAAGCATTGCGTTGCACGTAGTGCGGGTAACGAACTTTTACACTATCTTTTATAATTTACACGTATTATTGTACATGGTTTTTAAACTTTTTACTAGAATTTAAATTTAAATTACGAAAATTCTGGTTACACACATTTAATGTATAAAGGCAAAAAAATAACACCAAAACTAGAGAAATTGCGCACTATAGAACAACAATTTGAAAAAATTGCATTAACATGCATTATACCTACGATAAAATACTATATTTGAAATCCTTATAATAACCACTTTTGAGATCTATACGTTTTTGCATGTGGTGTACCATATTTTTTTATGCCTTAGTCATAGAACACTCCTGCCGCATCGCAAAGATAGCTTAAAGCCTCTTTTTTCAGTTATTTTTCTGCTGCGAAATGCGTCTCTCCCAGATGTTTCTTCATTTTACGGAAAATATGGTAGTCACTTATGGCTATACCTTAAGGCTGTCCGGTGTGTATGTATGTGGTAATATCCCATCCACATTGGCTGTGACTTGGGCGGTATGCAGACAAACGTTATCCTGATGCAAACGCATTCTCCTCGTCAACATGCCTCTTCTCATGTTTTGGATTGCGCAGCTAAGCTTCCTCAATATCTGACAATAGCGGTCGGCATTGATTGCTATACCAGCAAGCAAAAAGTCACACAATAATAGCCTCTTTCTGTCTCAGAAGATGGTTGCCATCACTTTACCGGTAGATAATGTTTGTTCAAACTTGCGTAGTTTTGGCGATTCTGGATGTCTCCACTGACAAGATCGTTCTTTCGTTTTTGATGTCGTATAGTGGAACCAAATCTCTGGTAACAATTGATTCCTTGAATTCTTCACCATTAGTAGCATTATCGTGTTACTCACACATTGACATGACCCAAATTTACAAAATACAAATTAATATCAGATTATGATTTCAGAATTATTTTATATTGCAATATTATTTTTTCAAATTTCAATAATTTCGGTTCAATTTTAATTAATCTGTCATAATGATATATAAATCAGTTGGCCAATTTATTATGTACAGTTGATCGAGTTTTTTTAGATGGCCAACTGTAAAACTAAAAACCCAATTATTAAGGGAGAAGAGTATCATAGCCATTTTATATATATATATATATATCCCTCTACTTATTGTAATCCGTTTTTAACCACTACACTTTTGAGCAATAATTTTTTTTTTTTTTCGGTTTTCATGATTTTGTTTTGGCATTTGCTATTCTACGTTTATCAAATATATGATAAATTATTGAAATAAAACTAAAAACATACATTTTATGTAATATTCATTACGAGAGTAAATTTTAAAACTTAAGGAAAGTTAAAAAAAAAGTATCTGAAACTTAGTATACTATAAATTAAAAAAAAAAAAAAACAGAAATAACTAGTTATGTTTAATTAATCTTTTTTTTTTTGCAGTTAGTTCCCTAATGAAAGTAGTTGCATCCCGACCACAGTATATAATACACAACGGTTACATGAAAAACAGCTGTAATTTATAATGTTATACAAAAAATAAATAAATAAAAAAATATCATAACATATATCTGATTCAGATGCTGGGTTACAACTGAAGTTTTTTGATTTTTATTAATATTTTCTTTTAGTTCTGTATGAAGATGATTTCGATGATTTTTTTTTTTTTTTTTAATGTAAATAATTATGGTTTTGTTTTCGAAGAATCATTATAGTGCTACATATCCTTTGTACAAAAAGTGTGATGATAATAACTGTACCTTAGTTTTGGTTAGTAATGGGTAGGTATATTATACAATAAGAATTTAAAATTTTCGTCCAGACATCAAAAAACGTGAAATTAATTTTTTATTTGCGTTTTTATGTGTTAAATTTCATGATGAATTATTACTCTTGACAATAAAAAATGAATTAATGAGTTTCTAAATTCAAAACTTAATTGTATGTTATATATGTGATATTTTATTCTAAAAATTAATTGTTAGGTACGTGAAAACAAAAAAGGAATTCTTAACTTATGTTATAAGTTATAACTAAGTATGAGGATAAATATAATAATATAAATAATAACACCAAGTATAAATTATTACGCTATAGAAGTACCTATATAATTATAATGCAATTCAGAACAATTATTTCTCTTGATATATTAAATGTTCATTTATTTTTGATTTTGTGAAGGTAAAAATGATTAAACATTCATTTACGCTATCTCTGAGTATGTAATTTTATTAAATAAAACTAATTTTTGTAATTTTAAGGAATAAAATTATCATAAAGTAAAATAAAGTTTTATATTACACCTTAAACCTAACTATAATATAATTTACGATGTCTCAACAGAATTTTGCTATCAAGTTTTTTCAATTTAAAATCAATGTTGCGTAAATAAGGAAATATTATTATAAATGAACGATAATGAGTGAAATGTTCGAATAAAATATAGACAAATATGAAGAAATTATCAATAGGTACAGTTTCAAACAATAATGTTAATATGAGTATCAGTGAGAGAAAAAACATATTCGACAGTAGACGGAGTAGTTAAAGATAAATCGATGAAAATGTATTATACTTTATTTTAAAACCGTTGAATTATTAGTCAGTAATTATTCTAACTATTCAGTCGGTAATTTTCTGTTTTTTCTAGGAGTGTCCGCTAAGATACTATTTAACTTATCCCGTTTCATTGGACTTTCCGTTTCTGGATGAGCTCAATGACCTTCTCATACGTCTTCAAGAGGCGGGACTTTCTAGTAAGTGGAGAGCAGATATCCAAAAAGTTGAACAAGAATATTATAAACCATTGAATACTAACACGTCAAAAGTGTTAAAGGCCTATTCAATGAAGGATTTATGGTTTGCATTTATTTTCTTGTTTGTCGGTTATACATTGTCAATACTTGTATTGATGTTTGAACTGGTTATGAAAAAAATTAAAAAATACAACTACGATTAATTTGTTAACAGTTGTATCTTATCTGATAAAAATGATATAATTATTACTTACAAACGATTTCATTTGGTTTTTTTTTTTAATAATTTTTACCGAATTAACGGCAAACAGATCCCAACAATGTAGTACAAATGTATTATTATTACTCCTGTACCCACTATAGTCGCAATGGCCACATATTAATGTGTACACGATTTCCCTATTATTTTCTAAAGCTACATGTATGTATTACGCGGAAGAGAATCTACAGACGTTTCAAACATTGTTCAGGTCCTTATCGGCTCTATACGTCTTGTTTACAATGCGCGGATCTTAATTTAAATTTTTAGGGTCGTTAAACGAAGCGAAATGAAAGAGGCCGTGTGTGTCATTGCGCGCACTATTTGATACTATAATATGTTGAATATATTACCGTACTGAACTATCGTCATCACGTTTCCCGCAAAGAACATGCATTCATTAAATGTGGGCGGAATTAAAACGGTTTCGCTAAATCATGTTAAACTAAAGACATTAACACATAATGCACGTATATAACGTATACGCAAGCAGACAGCCGACAAAGTTCGTCATGGATGTTATTGCTTAAATACCTGTGTGATCTATCTCTATTTATCCAGATAATGTGTGCGAATTAAAACAAACTAAAATTTGCATTTTCCGCTTCTGTTCGTCATATAACTACGTAAATTAGACAATGCATCGCGCGAACCTTATCACGTTAAAGTATTATACATTTTGCTATTTACACCGTATTCGTCCGTCAAGCTTGAACGTAAAAAGTTAAATCGTTAAGGGGAGATGCTACTCGAAATTATACGCCAAGTTTAACCTTTTGTTTATTGATGATGGTTAGGGCTATACTACCGACCAAATCCATGCATGTCCATGACTTGTGTTCGTGGATTGTCAAATAAAATAATAATTTATTTACGATTTTTTGGCAGAAAAAAATAAGAGAACATTACCTAAACATTATCTATGATGTAGCGCTTTTATAATTTCATTAACTTATTTCAATGTCTTTGTACGATTAAGCAAAAAATTGATAAACTTAAAAATATTAACATATAAATTGAAAACGCTATATTATTTTTAAAACAATAAAATAAAAATTTTATAAGGAGGAGATACCTCTATTATGAATTTACACTAAATATTTTTGTTTTCCGGGTACGTTTACACTTAAATTACTAGTATATTACGTCCTCTTAATATATTATAAATAAAATTATTTTATATCGTGTTACGTTTTTTTTTTTTTTTTTTTTTGTCAAAAAAAAAAAAATTTAATTTTATATATATATATATATATATATATATATATCTGAGACTTGTGGTGGGTCAAGAAAGACCCCAATATCACTTTTAATCACTATGTTTAGAAATTAAGAATAGAACACATTTTTTTATTTAAAAATGTATATCATTTTTATTTTTTATCGTTGTAGTTTTTGTATTTGTGATGAATTTAAGTATATAGTTAACCTACATTTTATATAGTAAAAATAAAGTAAATACTACTATATTTATCCTGAAAAACAATCATTGTAAAATAGTATTTCTTTGATACCATTGAAGTGCTTTGTTTTGTCATGTATGTATTTATAAATACAGAGTGCTATTTTTTGACCACCATGAGATACTTGAATTTCATTCCAAAAATAACAAAAATGCATTTTTATTTCCGTATGTTTCATGTACAGTCAAATTAAATGTGCATAGTTGACAATTGTAAAATGAAAGGCCACTTGATAATGTAACCAAACATTTTTGCAAATAAAATGAAACTGTGAGTATTTCTTTGTTATTTTTACTGACAGCTTTATTATTATTTTTCTCTTTGTAAACCTTACTGCCATTTTTAAATGTTATAATTTTTCTTTTATCGCATCTTATACTTCCTCATCTACAGTCAAACTCTTGACAATGGTTTCTAATTTATCACATGATTGACAAGTATCATTACTAAGTTTTGCTAAAATGAAATCTTCCATAAATATTTTTTTATACATTAATTCACTAAAAATGTTATGGTTATTTTCTACAAAATGTGTTTTATAGTGTTGGTACATTTTACTAATTAAATGATCAGGAATCATATTACTATTAATCTTTATAAATTGTATCACTATTCAAATACAGTAAGGTCAATTATAAAATATAAAAAAAATTACATTTTTTTTTTAATTGTAAAACAGCCAATGTTCACATAAGCCCTAAAAAAATTGAAGTTTTTTTATATAAATAACGACTGAAATCTGTTTGGTTCTTTTTAATATTGCAATAGTAATTTTTTTAATAACATTGATCTTCTAAAATCTCACAATAATGATTATTAAGATACGCTCTTTTACTAATAAAAAAGCGTATACAATTTTATATGATTGCTCATATAACTAATTTTCACAAGAAAATGATATTAGACCTTTTTCACCCAAGCGCCAGATAAACACATACATGAATTAGGTAAATAATTTGTTTTTTCCCTAGAAATTGCATGTACGTCCAGTCAACTTTAGGTTAAAATTGACGTAACTTTCATAATCATTATCTATGATTAAATACGTTCAGTCAACGTTTAAAACATCAAAATTCTTAAGCATAATATGTCATCGTATAAAAAAATGAATATTCAAATATATTTCAGGCAGTGTTGACGAAACCAGATTGTTTATATTGTGCAAAGAATTTTATAAAAAATAAAATAAAAAAAAAAACAAATAAAGCTGCAGTAAATTTATTCGGCGGTTTATGATTGAAACTATGTTGATAAATCATCATCAGTCCGTTTCCCATCGAATATACTAATATGTTAGATTGAAATATACACATTTTTTTGATTTTAATATATTACAGCGGAAAATTCTTCCAAAGAATAAAGTATAGCATATTTACATTATTGTTACTGGTTGAACTTACAAAGTATTCGGTAAAATGTACATAACCCATAGTTTAATGAATATTTTCTTACTTAAGTAAATATTGGTAAAAACCGTATAGGATGTATGATTCAAACTATCTATCGCGAGTATTATACGCCTGTGTATACAAATATCATAATGAACTAAAGTTTTTTATTTTAATTAGCTATAAAACGGAATCATTAAATCGGTGTTTTATATACCTGTTACGAATTATATTAAATACAAACAACATATATTCAAAGCATGTAGATGATTTTGGTTAATGTAAACGATAATATGGACTTGTGACGTCAACAGTAGACCTGAATGAACTTTTAAGTAATAAATGACCATGAAATATAAAATTTGACTTTGTAAAATAATTTCAGCTTATTTAAATAAACGGCATTTGAAAAATTGTGCCGATAAAATTTACATTGAAAAAAATTAAGGCTGAAATATCAACACAAAATGAATGTAGCGATTACAATCGAAAAAATACAATGTAAAAAAATCGTCATAAAACGTATGAATTTGTTCTCAAATAGCATTATTACACAGCAGTCGGTATTTTTTATTAGATAATTATTTTATTTTATTAATACATATTAAGAACTAAGTTAATGGAGTAACAAATAGAAATGTATCATTTCGTTGTACGATTAAAAATAATTAAAGAGATAATAAGTGTTAAATGAGGAATAGGTTTTATGAAAATGTAAAAAAAAAAAAAAATAATTGGCGTTTAGATATTATTCATCGTTAACGAATAAAAATAAAAGTAATACGATAACCGTGGATGAATTACATGTACAATATGTTAGTTTATCATTATGGATCTTCGTGGAGTGTGATAGGTCATAGACGCATTGATAAAATTATATTATAATACACTATGGAAACGGTTCCCAAAGTGTGTGTCGCGATGTCTGTATAGGGGCGCCGCGCTGTCATGAAATAGTAACTGGTCTAACATTTTCCTTACTATTAGTTATGCTATGATTTGCGAAGGGTGACCTGAAAAAACCTTAGATCAAAAAGGGCGCCGTGAGTCGAAAAAGTTTAGGAAGCACTGTACTATGGCATTGATAACTATTTGAACAAAAATCAAGCCAACCGAAAACTCTCGAAATATTTTTTTATTTATAATTTTTAATTTATAATTATTTGTTCATTAACTATTCCTATTTAAATCGGTACTCAATCAAATAGAATGTTCGTATTACCATCAAATATTTTATTTAAATACATAATAGGTACGATGTATTATAATTTACAAGATTGATTTTAATGAGTAATAAAACTACTAATTTTTTTTTTTTTTTTTGTAAATGTTTTATAACTTTATTTTCCAGCATATTATAGAATTATAATTCAAAAACCAGTTTTAAATATTTTTTTAGTTTGTTTTCATACATTAGTAATGTGATATAAAAATTGGTTTTATTCTATTGTTGATAAAATCTAATTTTTTAAGTATTTCTCTGAAATCTACATTAAATAACATTATTTAATATTAATTTATATAACATCTTCAAAATACGTAACTGAAAAATTATTAATATTTTATTATTTTTTAAAAAACTGAATAGTACTTATTTTTGGTAATTATTCTAATTATTTGTAGCAAAATTTTTATGTATTATTTCTAACTACATACAGTTAAACATCACCAAATTGTTCTACATTTAAAATGTGATTTTCTAATTATTTTAAATATTAAACAATATCAGCTAAGTAATTATTGTATGTACTCTTAAAATGAGTTTCAAATATATTAGGAACCAAATGAAACAATTCATGAAATTACATAATTAATTTGATCTTTTTACTTGCATGGTTCTATGTATACCAGGAGAAGAATTGCATTTGAAGCAAACAAGATGGTATCCGTTTAAGATAGTATTATAATGAACTCAACACGTTTCTTTATTTGTTGTTGATGAACATTAACTTTATTTATTTATTTACAAACTTGACATGTAGACATATATTTTGTACATGTATATATATATATATATATATATATATATATATATATATATATATTGAATACAATAATTATAATAATGAAATAATAAAAAAAAACAATTTAGAATTGAATATATCTAAATTTACATATACATAAACACATATATAGTTATAAAGGTTTCGTTTGACTCACTGTGTTAATAATATCAATTGCGGTGAGATGATGGAGTGAACTGCGGCAGCACGCACGATGGTGATGTACATATATAACGATGGTGGTGTGGACTGCGGCAAAATGCACGGCGGTTAATAAACAGACTGTGTTTGAAATATGGGGTGAAAATAACGTAGAGGAATATAGTCTGCTTGTGTGCTTTCCTAATCAGCCCGATAGTACGGATTACTCCGTACCCAGTACGATAAACACACACCAAGAGGAACATTTGTAAATAGAATCAAGTATACAGGTTAATCAGCTCGACAGTACGGATTACTCCGTACCTAGAGCTCTAATCTATCTAGACCTTTAATATACTATTACAAGAAATGGGATTTGTTGTTTTTCTCTTAGGAAACGTGACGTTATGTGTATGTATGCCGGTGCCGATTATATGCCGAATTCTGTTTTCTATCGTTGCAGATTGACTTTTGTACAATTCCTTGTTTAATAGTTTCATCTCATAATTTTGACAAACGTATAGATTTGGATCTCCTTTTTCTATTTCCTATATTTAGAGTCCTATATATTAAAATCTTCTTTCCCCAAACCATACATGATGTTACATTTAACCTGTTGTGTCCAAATGTGCTCTCTGTTGGTGCTTTGTTCTATGTTACTGACGGTTGAATTGAACAAGTCAGGGCGTAGTGACGTTTGACTCAACTATGAGTAGTATGCTACGTTGTGCCACAGGCGGCTTCTTGTGGTATAATCGTTATAGTATGAATAAATAAATAAGAAAATTATTTAAATCATATGAACTATCCGAATCCTGAGTACACAGAGGAGAATGGCGTAAGGACCAAATTTAGAGGGATGGTGTAGATTAGGTTAGTATGATTTTATGATGTATTATTGCGGAATTGGTGTGGATTAAAAAAACTCTTATATTAAAGTTCTTTTGGTTTTTTAGTAAACCATAAATTAAAATAGGTATTTCTAAGAAATCATCAAATATTTGTTTCTACAATAACCTTATTACGACCCGGTGTTTCCTAACCTTTCTGCTAACCTGTTGTGTAACCGACCCTACAAAAAAAAAAAACATAATATGTTTTAATATAATTATATTTACTAATCATTTTATTATAAGGAATTTTGTCATATGCTTTAACTCAATACTAAAAAACTTAATTCTGATAAATATTATATTTTTGATAAATAAAATACTTTTATTGTCATTAATTTTGACTAACGACCTATCAAAAATATTTTATAGCTCATGGATTGAGAAACGCTACTCTATAACATCATCAAAATGACATTATGTATTAATAATATAAAATTGATGTTAAAGTGTTTTAATATATAAATTAGTTGAAATACTTTGGGTTCATATCATAAAAATATGTCTCATAATCAGCGGTACAACAATAATATCGAACATAAACTATGTGCTAGTTAATTTCAATAACATTGAAGGGAATCATATACCCGTATAATATAAATGTATGTTATGCAAAGGTTCTCCATATATCGGCCCCTTGTTTTGGTAAATATCGTTACGGAGTAATGCGCCCCAAATTGGCAGAGAAACGCGCATCCAAAATAAGCTGTATAATACTATGCGAATTACAATAGGTTGTGTCTGATCAAACAACTTATAATGGATTACTTTCGAATATAGCACCACCGGCTGCTCGAAGGTATCTTGCAACCATTAAAATTCTACAGAAAATCAATGGATCAGTGAGTTAACGAGTACACAATTACGTAAATAATGTACCATATAAATATTAAGATATTATGGAAAATATGTTAAAACAAGGTTGAGAAGACGGCAGTGTAAAATGTAAGCAACTGATAAATAACCCTACTCAAAGAGTTTCGAATCTTGATTGCTCAAGAATCATGTGAACTAATATAAACAGAATACGTACGGAGCAGGGAAAATGTAACTACCTTCTACACAAATGGATAACGAAAAATTTACCTCATTGTGACTGCGGTCAAATACAGGCTATCCAACACATTGTGAAGGAATGCTCTCAAAAAAGATACAAGGGAGTAGTAAAGGTCCTTTATAAAGGCGATAATGAAGTAATGGTTAGCTAAGCCTTATGTTCGCCTTTAAATATAATATGTACTATTATAATTATTATTGTTGTTATTGTTAATCTTCTTTGTGTATGGTAAAATGTTTTATATTATTACCTAACTTAGATCTCGTAAATTATTTAGATGTTGTTAATTTAATTCAGTCTTTAATATGCTTTGTCTGCACCAATACATTTACGCTACATGTAATAAAAATTAAAAAAATTTTATGTTACCTAATTTTTTGTAACATTTACATATATTACAATATCTAAGACTTTTTAAATTAAATATACTTATCTTTATTCAAATACCATTCTAAACTGAAATGCTATTGAGTATTGTTAATTAATCATTAAAATCTTGTTAAAAATTAAAAATTACAGCTATTATACTAAAAATACATGAAGTAATTATAACATATCATTAAGCCATTGAAAAATATTTTAAACTTTGAACAAATTATACTATGTAATTTTCATTTTGTTTTAGTATTTCCATAACTTTTCGCCAATACGGATATTATACTATATGTTGTGTGCATAATCTAGAAAATAAACAAATAAACAATATTATTAAATAATCAATAAAGTGTAAAATTGTTTGTGTATACTACGAGTGTATTGTGTTAAAACAAAACAAATTAAGAGTCAATATTCAATGAATATTGTTCAATTATTGGAGTTATATCGAAGAAAATGACAACTATATAAACGATCCTGTATACTAAATATTTTGATACTTCTTCTGATTTTAGACTCAGAGAAATATGGTAATAATGCTATATCAATCCTCTTAAGAAATATAAACGTAGACATACGTACATAGAATAGTTTGGATACTTAAATTTTCTTCCCGAAAAATGATGAAAAAATATTTTCTTATTATTTACATAACTTTTTACCAACTATCAAAAAATATTTTGACAGCTACATGATTTTCTTGAAAATTTTCTTATTACAAATATATCCAAAAAAATTTATTATGCTAAGTGGAACCTAATCTCTCTCACTTAGAATAGTTTTATCGAAAGAAATGTTACATTGGTTTGAAGTTTAAAAGATCAAAACAACATTACTATTTGCTATTTTCTCTACTGTAGAATTTTATCTGACCTAAAAAGTTCATCATATTTACAGTTGGAATATATTTAATTTTTTAATGAATTTTCAAAAAAGTTATAGGTATTTCTAATTTGAAAACATGATGATATAGTCAAAATATTTTCTCAATATATGTTGTAGAGTTAAAATATATTTTAGTATCAATTCTATAATAAAAAAGGTTTACTTTTACTTTATTATGCATTACATTACTTACTCGTATATACGATTGGAGTTTCTAAGTTAATCTTTTAATTAAGATAAATATCACTCATTGGTATATTGGCATTAAAAATAAATTGTTAATAAAATAATACATACACTTGAGAACATTTCTAAGTTGACTATTCTATTTATAGATACTTTTAATTTTAGCTTTTCAGCATTATTCATTCGCATGATAAGCAATAACATCTTTTTATATTTTGTATTAATTTTGGTCCAATCACTACAATAGAGTGCAAAATTCATGGATTCCTTCTAAAATAAATAATTTAAAATTTTAGGCTGAAAGTAGTAATCTTAATTAATAAGATAAAAAAATAAATGATATAAAAATAAAAATAATTAAATTTTTAATACTCATAAATTAATATATATAATAAATCAACAAATAATTTATATATAAAATAAATAGATAAATAACTAAATAAAATCTTAATCTGGATTATTATTATATTTGTTTTGAATTAAAAATTTATCGTTAGCTCGACGACGTCAGGTTCGACGACGTCAGGTATACACAAAGTCAATAAAATTGTGATTTATTATTATAATTCGGTATGTAAAAAAAAAAATTAATAAATATATTTTTTGTATACCAGTATCGGTAAATTATTAATAAATTGTATAACATTTTTGAAATAAAATAAATAAACCAAGAAAATGTAATAAATATTATAGAAATATAATTATTTTATATATATATATATTATTTATCATAATGAATCTTCATTAAAACAAATGTAAATTTAAATTTAAAAAAAAATTAATAAATTTGAATTTGAATAAATAATCGTCTGTTTTTTTTTTTTAATGCTTTAATAATGTAGATATTACAACTTCATAATTATATATAATGTAAAAAAAGTTATTAAAAATTATTTGTGTTACAAGACAATTGGTATGTTATTTAAACTATACATTCAATATATTATGACAATAATTTAAATGTGAAAACTTTCTTTCAGAATGAAATTAATAATGAGTGAGATGACAGAAGAAGAACGAGAATTGAGAATGATTATATCAGGAAAAAAGTAGCAAAGAGAAAAGCATTTACAAAATAATGAGTTGCGGAGGAAGGACATAAGGAAGAAATGTGATACAAGTCGCATATGGTATCGTAGTGTAGAGTGCAAAAGGATGAAAAATGTAGTGAAAGAAGAAATGAATGATTAGGAATAAGATAGTGACCAAAGCGGAGTCGAGAAAAGGAGATTATTGTGGATCGAGGAAGATTCAAAATTTTGATTAAATTAAAAATAATTTTATGATGTAATTTAATTAATAATTATATAATAATAGTTTTTATGAATTTACATTATCATATTTTAAAATATTAATGTACTTACTTGTTCGTTTATAAGACCATATAGGTAGCAAGTGATGAACGAATGTATTATATTAGGCGTTATAGTAAGAAGAAGTTTTATTACTGGCACTGATACTAAAGACAACCCATTATAATTATTCTAAAACAAAAATAAAAATAAAAAACCATTCATACTACATTGTTTTATTGAAACTTATATTTACAATGAAAATCATATAAGCTTGAAATATTATTAACATCGATTGAGCTGCTAACTGAACGAATGTCACAGGTTCAAATAATCGAAAAATGTCTCTAATTTTTCTGAAACCCCGTTTAAAATAATGAATATATGAATATATATGGCCAGAAATTTTAAATACTATCTTTAATATAAATTAAAATTCTATATCTATCTTTTTTTTTTAGTAGATATTACATAAATTATCATATGAGATGTAACTGAAAAAATTTTACAATACGAGTAAACTTTTAATATTCTTTAAGATTTAACATTATATAATTTAAATATAACTAACGTAAGTCGTGCAAACCTTGAAGCATATAATAATATTGCTCTGAATTTAGTACTTGTAAATTAAATAACTGGTTTAACATGATTCTAATTTTTTTTCTTACATGTATATGTCATAGTAATAGATGTTAAATTTATACAAACGTTATTTTCCAGTAATTAACGGTAATAGATAATAATGAATAATTTGCAAGGTTTTTGCAGTTATCTACTAAGGATTTATGTAAATTCCAAAATTCTTAATTAACTGTGTTAATTTATTCAAATGTTTATATTATAATATTATTTATTTTCACGTGACCAAAAACCGTGGCATTTTGAATTTCATATCCCAACTACTCGATAAGCAATATTTATTCATTAAATGAGTTATAGTCGCTTCATTTTCTATTAATTACATCAGGTAGAGTATTGTTAAATTTATTTTCCATTTCAAGTTCATTCATAATGAATTTTATTAAAAATACATTATAAAGAAAACGAACATAAACTATTCGAGGTTATTATACTTTAATAGTCAAACAAACAACGATACTATTACGATTCAATGATGCCAATGAGCACCACTAACATATCGTAAAATATTAGTAATTAAAATGCCTCATTAAAACACTCTCAGACTACGATTGTATAAAATACCATCCAACACCATTATAACAACAACATTTTCCAACGTGTGTAGAAATTAACAATAATCGAACCCCAAAAATAATAAATTATCATAATTTTACTGGTTTGTTTGGTAACTATTGTTATTTACTAGAAAATATTTATGACATAATTTACTTTAACATATATATATATAAGTAACTTAAAATTTAGATAATGATATGTGACTATTTTGTATTTTAAATAAAGTAATATGTGTAGTCTTCATGACCACTAGTACTACTCGTATAAATATTATTAACCTTACTTGAGCATGTTTTGTTGGTCATGAATTAACAGTTTTAGACTTAATGCGGTTTCGAATTCATTGCCGTCAATGTTTCTCTTGTTACCTATTAGTATAATACAAGCAAATTAACAACTGTTATGGACAATAACAGTATAAGCGTTCAAGAAGAGCGCAGATTATTATTTTTTGTTAATAAAAAAAAAATATTCTTAAAATTGTTAAACATAAATGTAATTCTACTTTGCACGATTAAAATAAATATTAATAGTTTCAAATGTTCATATAATAATCATCGAGTCTGGCTGGATATCACAACGAATAGAGATGCAAAAAGTCGGGATTGTTGAAATTCGAAATTGAAATTAGTATTCTTCTACGTGTACCTAACTTGTAATGAAGTTTTGATAAACACATATATATTGTAATTAATTGATTTTTAAACTAGAACATAACTAGAATTACATAATGTTAAATCCAAAATTCGAATATTGAAATGCGAAATCTGTATTAGTTGGATTTTCGGAGAATCCGGATTTAATTTCCATAACTACTACAAATATGCTAACTCCATGCAATATATCTTTGAAGAGACAGTTTAACAGTGAAAAATTATAAACCTGATATCATTTCTGATTGATTTTCTGATAAATCCGATAGGAGTCGATTCCGAAGTGGTCGAAACATTGGTGATCACAACCATTTGGTCGTTCGTTTTCGGATACCTTTATACACGAATAAACCAAAACTTTCCTACGCACTTTAACAGTCTTAGGACTAACAGTTAACTGCCAAACATTGATGAGTACTCGATTACAACGCGCGCATGTTTGGCAGCGTAGTATTGATGACATTATGACGTTATTCTAATCGAGGTGACTCGAACACATCGGACGAGTATTGCACTCATGTTTACCGCCAGAATTGAAAACGAGTTGTCTGGAAAACGAACTGCTGCCATAGGCGCAACTAGAGCCCAAATATTGGGTGTGCTAAAATTGTTGAAATTGAATGGTATTTCACTGTAATTATATAGATTATATAGATCCTGAAAAAAAAAAGAAAAGAAACAGGAGTGCTACAATTGAACTCATGGGTGCTACAAATCTTATCGAGCCCCCTGATTGCGTCTATGATGACCACCAGCGCAAATAACGACCGAAAATGTGACCGCCAAACCGCGCTCGATGACATGCGATCGATCCGAAAGCGGCTTGAAAAATACCGTTCGGGATGGGAACAGGGGCGCGTCCGGCCACACACAAGCTCACCGTACGCTTCGCTCACGGTGCCGTAGCACAACGTGCTGTACGAGTCGGCGATGGTTTTCAACTGGAACTGGATGGCGATGCACATGGATATGACGAACGTGTCGTATGCTATGGTGGCGTGGCCCCAGCTTACCACCTGCAGCATCTCGACGGCGTAGAACGCTAGGAAATGATCGTTGTAGAACCGTTCGCCGACCGGGTACACGTAGTTTAGCGAATTGTACCGGTACTGGCGCACTTTGCCGTTGATCTCCACGTCCAGGTATACACCGTCGACGATGAACGGCGACAGGCACCAGGCTACTGTCACGGATCCCCAGAGCAGCAGGAACAGTATGGACAACGTGATGGACTTGGCGCGGGCGGTGCGCAACGCGTCCCTCCGGTGCCCGGTGTACGACAGGAACTGCACGGACGTCATATCCATACAGTCCCAGATCAGTTCCGAGTTTCTGGACACGCAGAACAGTTTGAACGTGGAGAAGAATATGGCTACGGCCAACATGAAATGGTTCATCAGCTCGTTGGTGTTGTACAGGTAGTAGTACGAGCTCAGTATCAAGACCGACACAGAGAACACGCCGAACATGATCTCGATCGTGGCCACCACCTTGTACGGACTGTACCCGTAGTATTTGCTCGTGTTCGGATTGATCAACTGATAGAAACCGGTGAGTTTCATCAGCCTCAGATTGATTATGTAGTTCTGATGATCATCGTCGTCCATACTCGTTCGATCAATAATAATTCAGTATTACTATTAAAACAATACCGATGATGCAAGTGACATGACGAACTATGTAAAAGTAAAAAAGAAAAAAAAACCCCATTCAACATAACGTAATTGATTTTAGCTGATCAGTAAATATGATAAAAGAAGTCGAAATTTATTATTTATTTATATATATTTATATTATTTAGTTCATATGCGTTCCGTTTAAACACTCGAAACGGCTGTTAATTTTTTTTTTATGGTGGCGTGCGATAGAGAAAGTAATGTAATTTTTACAACTAAAAGTCACAATTGAAGTAACTCGTTGAGATACCGAACAACATGTTTCAAATAGAATATAACACACAGTTCTCGATTCGAATCGGTACACGTACGAGTACAATGTCAGTGATAGCTTTTTTCGACTTTTTTGTTCACACGGATTACAATAGAAGTGCGATAAATCATTAGATTATAATAACGATTCGATGTGTTATTTGATGTCCCACGAAGTCATGAACATTGTTAACAAAATCAAACCTAATGGTGTTTTCATACCTTAGTGGGACATCTGTTACTATTGCCAGAATAGTATAATTCGTGTTACTCGAATATAACCTGATAAATCGATTGCATACGATTATCGTCAAAGTCTAGAAATATGTATTTATTTAAAAATATTTTGGATTTTTATAACTTTCGGTTCAAAGTTTACATTTATTTATATTGTTTATTGTTATTTTTGCACAATAAATTAAAACAAATTATTAAACAGATAACTTACTAATATTCGATTTCTGAATGGTTTTCTGTGTAGGAGAAAAAAAATATTCGGCATTAAATTTGATCAAATTATAATCGATAAATAGTGGTTGGTCAGTTGAAATATATTTTCAAATATTTACTTTTTTAAAAAAAAATCTGTCATAAACACATAACAAAAACAATAAAGGCTAAGACTAAAAATGATATTTATACCGTGGCATCCGACTAGTATTACGATTGTAGTTTTATTTTATTTTCGAACAAGCGAATACATTAATATTGCATTACAACTGAATCCATCAAATTATCATTTGTCTCAAATAGAAAAATTTAAATTTTTATGCTATGAATTATATAATTGACCACTATTATGACCGTATGTTAGATTAATAATGAAGATTTTAATACCATATTTTAAACGTTTGTTAATTCAATAAATTAAAAATATATTTTGAACCTTTTTTCTAACATAATTGCTAAGTAGACATAATTTCTAGACATAGGACACATTAATGGTCGTTTAACACACTACACTATGAATAAAATATGTAACTGGAAGGAAAATAATTCCTTAGAGTTAAAAATTGTATGAGAATAAACCGACAATTCTAAACCTTAATTTATGCTTCCGTTATAAATTGAAAAATTTATCAATTTAAATTTTAAAATTTAAAATATGTAATGATTATAATTCATTTTTTTTATTGATGATTAATCGATGTATCGTTGAAAAACCATTGATGTTTAAGAATATCTAAGTTTAAAAACATCGAAAAAAATTTTTTTTCCTTCTTGATCTGCCATCTGTTGCACATCTTATTATCTGTACAGTGTACTATTTTCCTGATTAAATAATAAATTCAAGAAATAAAATACTATTTTTTAACTTATATTTTTTATATACATATTAAATACTTACGATTAGAGATCGTAAGTTCATATATTTGCATGTTTTCTTTGCTATATCGGAAAATGTGCTAATTGAGATAAAAATTCGCTAACAATGATAATAAAAATCTTAAGTTTAATTGAGCATGTTTTTGCATATTTTCTGTTTATTGGCATATGGTTGATTTTTTTTGAGTAATTATCACATATTATTTTAAGTAAATTCAATATATCGTTTTTCGTGAAGTCAAAAAAAAAAAAATTAGATCAATAAATATTTGAATTCATTCTTATTTTCTTTTCCGAAATTTTTAATAAAATCTTAGTATTTTATCAATATTTTTATTTTTTTATGACATTAAGTTTTATAAGATAAAATCAATACTACGGAAACAATGTTATTGTGCATCACTACCACTCTCCTCCAATTGACGTGTCCATTGCAATTTATCTATTTTCGTAAAATGTAATCGAAGAAAAAATAAGTATGGATAATTCTTATTATTTTAAAAAATGCTTATACATTTTTTTTCGTGCATATTTAAAGATTTATAATGCACATTTGAATGCATATTTAATAAAATGTTAGTGAATGCTTATTTATGCGTTTTTTTAGTGCATAAACTTAATACAAACTTTGTAAACAAAACTTTATTTTAATACAAACAAAATTCAAACATTTTTAACATAGACATCGATGTTTAATCGATTAATGGAAAACAAATCGTCGATAGTCTTGCCCATTCCTAATTCACGGCCATATAATTGGATTTTTGATCTTCTTACATTCTTTTTGAATTGTGTTACCACTATTAACAATTGTTCCGAAATGCATGGGAACGTTTTTTAATTTGGCTTCTGGTTTTTTGACATTTGTATAAGATTCTCCTTCGTTGTCATAAACTTCTTGACCTAAATAAACACAAATAAAAATAAACATATTATGAACTATATTTTTTCAAATTATGTTAAAATTAAAACAATAGTTGAACCTGATATAAGTTAATATATTAAATAAATTAAGAAAATATAAAAAAAAATAGATGGAAACCATAAAGAATTTAAAATGAAAGACTGTTAGAATAATAACTTCCGTCTACAAATTATATATAAAAAAAAATTTACTTTCTGGACGTAAAATACTTAAGTCACTTCTAGTCTTAGAATCTCTATTCTTCATAATAACTCTTTGGCTATCTAAGTTTCCTAAAAATACTTTTTATTGAAGTATTAAATAAAATATATTTAAAATTACAGTAATATTAACATAAGATAAGTTTACAAAAATACTTACATAAACATACAAAGTTATTATTTTTTTATTTAACCAAGCAATATTTCACAAAATATGAATACTATAGTTTAATTTAAAAAATTAGCCTGTATCAAATATTTATAAAAAATAATTCTTATGCAGATTAAAATATATTAAATATATAATGAATTTTCTAAATTAATAAAAACATTTATGTATACCTTCGGTTTTAATACTTGTTTCTGGAATTTTAGAATGATTTTTTCTCTTTACTTTATTTGCACCGCTAAAAAATATTTATTACGTATTAGTTTAACTATAAAAACTTGGTCAGATTAGCAAGATTAACCATAAGTTTAAAATATGTTATGCAATAATATAATAGTATACACAACTAGTTTGGGACGTTAAATTATAATTGTTGACATAATTATTTATTATTATTATCGTATGGTATTGTATGTAAGCGTTACAAACTAGATACAGATATATATATATAAATAATTCACACAATAATAAAACAATATTAAACTTTAAAATTAATGCTATGGGTAACTTTTCCATGTTGTCATCAGTTAAGGAGTTTAAAATTGGATGTCGAGTGTCATTATCCATTTGACCGCATTGTAGATTGTTTTGTGGAGTTCTACTGTCCGTTAAATACGTGGAGTGGGCCATCACTTATTAACTGGGAAATAGATACATAGTAATGAGTGGCCGCAGTCACAGCCTGGACTATCTCTCATTTTCCATTTATGTAGGACTCTTCGGAGTGACCATGCCCTGTACGTAGGCGATTAAGTGTTACCCACTCGTGACGGGCTAACTGTTGTCCAGGAGCTAGAGTATCCAAGCTCTTATTTAAAATATAATTGTCTATATGGCAGAATTCTGCCATTCTAGTTTCTAATTGTTGACACTAACTGTATATTGTAGTCAGTAATTATTAATACTACACTTCCACAATATATTAATATAATATATACACTTAATCAAAAAAGTTTCCACACGCTAATTTTTTCCGTCAGTGTACTCGTTGTTATGAAGTCTAATAAATAAATTTATTGTTATATTTCATATTTGTATACATTAAATATTTTTCTTACTATATTGATTATACGTTAACGTTTTATTTACTACGACATACGTTAACCATGGAAGTATCTACTGAAGTCCGTGCATTAATTATTCGACTAAGAAAAGAAGCACAATATTTTCAAAAAAATGTTAAAATTGTAAACAAATCACACACGATGGTTCAATATATTATAGACAAAAATAAATTAAAACATTGAGCAGTAGGCCTCGTTCAGGTCGTTTTAGAAAATTATATTCAAACCAACGGCGGGCAATTTTAAGAACAGTAGTAGAAAATGCCAAGACAAATGTCAATAAAGTTTATAAATATTACCTGAATCCTACAATATCTCTAATTGCAGACTGTAATAATCGGGCAGGATAAAATGATTTTGGTTTTTTCTTAACTTCTACTTGAATCTAAAATTTTAATAAGAAAATTAATTGTTATTGAAATATTAATTTATGTTAATCAAATGGCTATCCCATTAATTTACCATACTAGTACTCTTTACTTCATTTGAACCGCTGAAAAATATTAATTACGAATTAGTTCAACTATAAAATCTTGACAGATTAGCAAAATTAACCATAAGTTTAAAAATATGTTGTATAATAATATTATAGTATTTATTTGTATATGTCGTAGGCCATATGGAAAATTAGTTTTTTTGCAAAAAGACTAGGCTCTTTGCAATGGGTAGCCCGTTTGCGAACTACTTATTATTTTTCCAAACAGCCTGCTGTTTTTCAGGCTCATTGCATACAGACTAACAGCTGTTAGGCCTTTTAAGAACTACAATCATTTTA